TCCCCTCTTTATGCTATTTTTTTTTTTTTTTTTGAGAGAGAGGGAGGGAAAGAGAGAGAGAGATTGTGTGGGTTTGTACAGGGGCGAGTGTCAGAGGGAGAGAGAGTGAATCTTAAGCAAGCTCTAGGCTCAGCAAGGAGCCCACTATAGGGCTCAATCCCACGCCCCTGAAATCATGACCTGAGCCAAAATCAAGAGACGCTCATCCGACTAAGCCACCAAGCACCCCTTATTTTATTCTTAAAATGCTTTTATAATTCACTTTTCACTTGCACATTCATTTACAAGTATCCAATCAAATATTATCAGTATTTTAAAACCTGATACATCTTAGCATGAATAAATTAGAGGAGATTTAGAATAACAGAGTGTGGTGGTTGTAGTTCAGTAATTAGAGAAATCAATGACTAGTAATCAAGCAGAATCTTTGTGTGGAATTCAGACTTGAAATAGAAAAGTTGGGACAAAGGAATTTAATTATTTTCTAATCTTCTTTCACTTTAGGAGCTAACTGGCACCTAACAGTAATTACCTTAGTTTAAAACACCAACCAATTAAAAAGAATACTATGAAGAATTGGTAGCATGGGCATTTCTTTTTATATTTTAAGTGTTACTAAAAACTCCACCACATTCTCTTTCAATCACAGAGGGAATTACATTCTCAAATTTGGACTCCTTCATATCACAGCTTACACATTGTTTTCATTTTATAACCAAACCTTACAAGTTTTTGAGTACTACAGAGATTTTTTAAAACTGTAAAATAGGAAAAACTTCTGTGGATGGGCAGCAGTAACCATAAATAGGTTATTTCCTGGCAGTGGTACCAATATGAATTTACTTAAAACTTGCAATGTTACAGAGAAATGAAAACCATTCCTACAGTCTGCTGAATAATATTACTTAAGTCACTAATGTATAAAAGGTTAACTGTTTTAAGTATGATAAACTATTTCTTTCTCTTTAATCTTCACAGCATGAAAAACATATACTAGAAAGATAAAAAAAATTTTCCCTATAATCGAGAATCAATGATGATTTCCGGCTGGAACACTACATATAAATCAGGGCATGCTCTTCAAAGCCAGACCTAATTCTGCTGGAATTTAGTTTGTATAGGCCCATCAACTTTTTTCAAAGTTAAATTCTCTCCAAAGACTTCTTGCTACATGCAGCAAATTTTATACACTCTCCGTTGGCTAGTATTTATTTGGTAGGTTAATGTAAAAAGAAAAATATTACTTTCTTTTTAAACTTTGAGAGAGAGCCTGTGAGCACATGAGCGAGAGAGGGGCAGAGAGAGGGAGAGAGAATACCAACCAGGCTCCATCATGTCAGCACAGAGCCCAATGTGCGGCTCCATCTCAGAAACCGTGAGATCATGACCTAAGCTGAAATCAAGAGTCGGATGCTTAACCAACTGAGCCACCCAAGAGCCCTGAGAAATAATACTTTTTGGTGTGACAACCAAAAAAAAATTTTAGCTGTCTCCAAAATCTTAAGCTCTAGCTCCTATCATTAAATTTTAGTCCTGTATTTCTACCTGCTTGTTTAAAATACAACTCGATCTCCTTTCTCAATCCTTCTACTTCAAAATTGGAAAATTTTCATGGTACTAACATACTTTTAGTCACCTAGGTAGGAAACCCTGAATTCATCTCTGATTCCTCCTTCTTCTTTCACTCCATCTATCCAGGTGCCATGTTTTCTTTATTTGTCTGCTGATGCCTCTGTTCCCAATACTACTCTGGTAAACCAAAATACCTAGTACCTTTTGTTTGGGTAACAGCAAGCTCCTCCTGAACAGAACCTCCATGTCAAATCTCCTCTTCCGGCACAGCCCTTCTTCTACACTGTCGTCAAATTACATTTCTAAAATTAGGTTCTGGGATATCATACTCCTAGTCAAAAATAACTCTCTCCTGGGACACCTGGGTGGCTCAGCTGGTTAAACGTCAGACTTCAGCTCAGGTCATAATCTCATGGTTCATGAGTTCAAGCCCTGTGTTGGGCTCTGTGATGACAGCTCAGAACCTGGAGCCTGCTTTGGATTCTGTCTCTCTCTTTCTCTCTGTCCCTCCCCCACTTGCCCTCTGTCTCTTTCTCTCTCTCAAATATAAACAAACATTAAAAAAATTAAAAAAAAAAAACCCAACAACTCTATCCTGGTATTCTAAATCCTGTTACTTGAATTCAATAACTTTAAAAAACTCTTCCCGGGGTGCCTGGGTGGGTCAGTTGGTTAGGCGGCCGACTTCGGCTCAGGTCATGATCTCGCGGTCCGTGAGTTCGAGCCCCGCATCGGGCTCTGTGCTGACAGCTCAGAGCCTGGAGCCTGTTTCAGATTCTGTGTCTCCCTCTCTCTGACCCTCCCCCGTTCATGCTCTGTCTCTCTCCGTCTCAAAAATAAATAAACGTTAAAAAAAAAAAATTAAAAAACAAAACAAACAAACAAACTCTTCCCCACTCACCCTCATATAGTATATACTCTAGCCAAACACAGTTTCCTAAAGGTGTCTTTGCCTTTCTGTCTCCTGGTCTTTGCCTGTGATGTTTATTTTGCCTAGGGTAACATTTCTCTGTATGTCCAAATCTTATTCATGCTTTAAGGTCTAGTTCAAATGCTGTATTCTCTAAGATAGCATCCTGGGTCTCCCACAACTGAAAGCAAGGGCCTCTGAATCTCTATAGGACTTCACTATATTCTCTATGGTAGTGTTCTCTAACTTCCAACTTGAATGAGTACACAAATCTCCTGGAAATCTTGATAAACTATAGATTTTCATTCGGTAGGTCTGAGAGTCTATATTTCTAACATGATCCCAGGTGACACTGATACAGCTGGTTTGTGGACTATTTGAATACTGACGTGTTATGGAACACACCAATTTTAGCCTACAACTCTGATTATTTGTAAACTTTTTTTACTGCCTGTTTTCCTAAAAATGAAGGAAGGATCCCTGTTTTCCACTGCAACTTGTACAGGAGATATGCAATTGATATTTGTAAACAAAACCCTGCAAAACTTGTATGTTTTACAAATTACAGGTTTTCAATCCATTAATGGGTTGCAAGCTATATGTACGTGTATATAATATGTATGTATATAACTGAAACAATAAAATTAAGTCAAATGAGAAAAAATATATCACATGTAATAAGGGTAAATATTGTTTTATAAAACTTTTGTTGCAACTACATATACACACATATACATTTGCATGTACTTGGTTAAAAACGTAAAATCTGTTTTCTAATTTTTTTAATGTTCATATATTTTTGAGAGAGAGAAAGAAAGACAGAACATGAGCAGGGGAGGGGCAGAGACACAGGGAGACACAGAATCCAAAGCAGGCTCCAGGCTCTGAGCTGTCAGCACAGAGCCCGATGCAGGGGCTCAAACCCACGAACCATGAGATCATGACCTGAGCCAAAGTCAGACGCTTAACTGACTGAGCCACCCAGGTGCCCCCAAAATCTGTTTTTCATGTGAGTTTTAGTCAAGAAAGCTGTAAAATACATGTTATGGGTGGAATCATGTCCCCCAGAAAGATATGTTGAACCCTTAACCATGGTTAGAGATTAAAGTTGCCACAACCTAAGAAAACCTGGGACTGAAGAATGTGGAAAAGGAAAGGAAAGATATTCCCCTGGAGGCTTCAGAGGGAGCATGGCCCTGCCAATACCTTGATTTGGGACTTTTAGCCTCCATAATCATGAGGGAATGTATTTGTTTTAAGACACCCAGTTTATGGCAGTTTGTTATGGCAGTCCTTGGAAACTAATAGAACACAGAAGAAACATTTTATTTTATTTTTTAGTTTGTTTGTTTGTGTATGTGTGTGTATGCATGGTTGTATATACTGACTGACTAAATAATTGACAGAGAGGTAGGGGCAGAGAGAGAAGGAAAGAGAGAATCCCAAGCAGGTTCCACACTGTCAATGTGGGCCCAATGCGGGGCTCAAACTCACGAACTGTGAGATCATGACTTGAGCCAAAATCTAGAGTGGACGCTGAACTGACTGAGCCACCCAGGCACCCCCAGATATACTTTAGTCACAGCTCAAGTATTTTCTTAATTTCAGAATTATAAAAAAAATATAAATCTATGAACAAGAATATTATGGCCACATATATTTTAGTATACAATAAACATTTTCAGGAGATTCTACAAAATATAACTTTTAAACATACTCATATAAGTAATCTCCCCTATTCTTTTTTTTTTTTAAGTTTACTTATACATTTTGAGAGAGAGAGACCACAGGGAAGGGGCTGAAAGGGAGAGACAGAATCCCAAGCAGGCTCCACAGTCAGTGCAGAGCATGATGCAGAGCTTGATCGCACGAACTGTAAGATCATGACCAGAGTCAAAATCAAAAGTTGGATGCTTAAATGACAGAGCCACCCTGCTAGTTATTTTTCCTTACATCATCATCACTTATTTTCTTATAGCACTAATCCTAATACATTATATTGTGCTTCTTTGTGTTTTTCCTACCAGAAAATAAGTTCTGTGTGGACAAGTATTGCTTCTTACCATACCCCCTGTGCCTGGTGCATAGCAGGTTTTCAAGAGACACTTATTAAATGGAAAAAAGAAAAGCTCGTAAACTAAACTGTAGGTAGAAGTATTAAATGCTGTTGTTATTATCCTACATCTACTTGTTTCCCATTCCCTCCCAAGAAAAAGCCCTTTGGATAATCAAAAAATTTCAAATTAAAATCTAGCCAGCTGCCTGTTTTATTAAAGTTGTACTGAAACACGGCCTCACTCACTCCTTTACATACTGTCTGTGGCTACTTTTCTACTACGACAGCAGAGTTGAGTACCTACAACAGACTGGATGGCTTTCAAAGTCCAAAATATTTACTATTTGATCTATAAAATAGGCCACTCTATTTTTTAACTATGTATATATTTATACAATACTTGCCATCTAATCATATGTATTCTAAAGATTATAAGAAATAAATGTGGGAAGTAACCTTCACCTTATTGTAATTCTTGGCTAATTCCAACATCTCTTTTACCACTGATTCATTGTGTTTACAGTGTTCACTGTAGTCCTGAAGTGTCAAACCTTCCATCCAACTCTTCTTATGCAAATTTAGCAACATCTGAAAAATATAAAGAGTGATTATTTTCCTGTATTGAGGATACCTCTTCACTTGTCCTGAGAAACAACTTCACAAAATTTGGAATTAATGAATTTAAAATTTAATTTTATTAACTTAAATTCTAGTAAGAATTCTCCTAAATTTATATTAATATAACCTAAGGAGTATTCCAACCTCATGGCCTTTGTACTTGCTGTCCTTCTGTCACAAAGACTATTTTCCTTATCTTTGCATGGCTTACCTTTCTCATTTCCTTAAAAATAGGTGGCTTTCCTCATCACATTATATAAAAAAGCCACCTCACACTATCTCAAACATCTTTCTTCCCTTATCATTATTTTTAGAACATTATCAACACTTCAAAATTTTATTATTGCATTTCTCGCTCACTAAAATATCAAAAGAGTAGAAACTTTCCCAGTTGATTTCAAGATCACCAGGATGTAGATTCTAGAACAATATCTAATCATAACAAACATTCAATAAACACCTGTTGAATGCATAAATGAATGAATGGATGGATGGATGGATGGATGGATGAAACTGCTATGTTACACACAAGGTCTCTAATAGTTCATACAGTCCAGCTTTCAAATACCAAGGTAAGGAGGTAAATGCCCCATTTACTGAATGACTTCATGTAAATCTTACTGTGCCTCAGTTTACATATTTATGAATTGGGGGCTTATATTAGATAATAAATTTCTTTTCAATTCTAATATTCCACCCATAATTTTTAAAATGAAAACTTCCTTACTGTCTAAATGAAAAGTCATGAAACTGGGCAGGAAATCACAGATTTATCCAGTGTGCAATCAAATCAGCAAACTAGGATCAAACTCTATTAGTGATCGTGGAACTAAATACCTTAGTTCACTGTTTCTCAAACTGGACTCCTAGTTCTGAGTATGTAATTCCTGGAAGTTCCTAAATTTTCAAGTTTAGAGTATTTAAGACAGTTTTTCTTAGTCTTATTCTACAAATATTCTTTAGTTGAACTTACAATTGAGTAACTTTTTAAAATGACTGCTAAAATCACTGTGAAAAAAATCTGGTTGCCATTACAGCCAGTCTATTTTGTGAGAGCCATGAGCTGTAATCTGAAGACGTAGCTAGAATAGTTTAGAAAAACGATTCTACTTGCTCAGAGATTTGCAGTTACATGTGGTACAAAGGTTTTCTTATGCTAGAGAAAAAGGTGCATGTCAAAAATCACCTATGAGACTTTGCCAGACACAAAGCTCCAAATTCCTCCATTCCCATTCAAGGGCCCAGGGAGAGACAAGAGTAACCTGAAAAAAATCCTACACAACTAACTCCAATTTTTTTGACTGCTTCCCATCTTCTCCACTGATAAGTGTTCTAGATAATATATCTTCAGGAAATTTTGGTGCAGCTACAACTATATGTATTATAAAACTACCTATAATTAAGTGTGGAGAACTGGATTTTTCTACCACTTCCAAAGCAAAGTTTCCACAGAGCGTGAGGATATCTCTACCATGCCTGAACAAGGATTCCACTGGGACCCCTGAGGAAGTTTAAAGTTAATTATACAGGTTGGTGGGTAAGAGTAAAGGTAGGGCTTTTGTTACCATAAAAGCTCCTGAACTAAGCTATTAGGAGCATAAGCATAACATTAATTAACTTATGTAGGTATTTGCACATGTGTCCTTAATGTCAAGGATAGTGGCTAAATTTTGGGGGGTACCAAAAAGGGGGAAAGCTGATGTAATTATATGGATATTTCTAACCAGTTGGGTGTCAGGTATCAGACTAAAAAAATATTCACATATACGAAATTTTCAGTTTGTATCTGACAGGTGCTCTTTTTCATGGCCAGTATCTATTCTGTAAAAATTAAAAATAGGTGTTGAAAATATACTCCAAGCTATCAACTAAATGTATCACGGCAGATGTAAACTTTGGGACACAGGCAAGCAGCTGCAAAAGAGCTCAATGGCTC